ACATTACTTTTGAAACATTCTGTATTTTTCGATACTTCATCTAGATACTCAATTTTTTTTTTGGTAAAAAGTCCATTTTTTTCTGTACGGGCGAGTAACGGTACGCAAAATTTTCAAGACGCTATTTATATACATTTATTGTCGGTGAGACGAGTTCGCAAAAAAAAAATTGGCGTGTGGGGATAATGAGAGCTATAAAATTTAATGAAGAATTTTATTAGTGTTAACAGTAATGTCTTCGTAAACGCGTCTTGATTATACTCCGAAACTTATTATAATTTAACCTAACCGTTATTACCCAAAAAAAAGTTTTTTTAAGAGGAACTATAAAACATTGAAATAAGAACATAAAGCCTTTAAACCAATCTGATGTTAAATTGAAGATAAAACCACATCGTAAAGCGACTTCCCTTCCTTTCATTCAAAATGAAATGAAACCCACTTATCGACTTATCTTTATTAAGTCACTACAATTATATCTTAGACGATAAAAATGTTTTTATTCTTTTTTAAATTAATAAGGATTTGATCAATTAATGTTAAACGTGATTTGTTATAAACCTCAACTACATTTGATTACTCATTTTTAAACTATGAAACATTAATTATTATGTGGTTTATGCAACATTAAACGCCAATTTAAGTAAGATATTCGAATTCTTATTTAAAAAGTCGGCGTTTAACTTAAATAGTATAAAATAGCTCCGAGCTGATTTATTAGTTAGTCTTGAATATTAATTACTTCTTGATAGAGTTAGATACCTGACTACTTTAATAGTGAAAGTGAAGTGTAGTAAGAGTTACTTAGTAATTACGTAGAAGTAATGGAATCTAAAGGTATTATTAAGTCGCGAAAGTATCGTGAAATTTATTCCGCTCGTGTTGTGGATTAGAAATGTTTGCACCGTTTTAATTATCTTTCTTTTTTTATTTAATTTTATTCAAATTTTAATGTTATAGGCAACTAAATTTTCATTGAATTTAAATTAAGAATTATTTAGTTTAATCTTAGGCAACCCAATAATATCTATTTCTGAAAATCGAGATCGACATAAACAATTCCGCAATCACCAAGTAGTTTTTCAAAAAAGTTATCAAACTAATCTAAGTCATACCTAACATAGCTTTTATGTATGACAACTCATAAAACTTGTATACATCCCACTCCCTATCAAAATACTCAAATCACCACTTATATACCAAGGCGAGACTTCAAACACTGCAATTGGCAGGACATGTTACCAGGATGCAAGAAGTCCCTAGAATGTTACCTAGAATGCAGGGGAAAAGATCGCTGGATAGACATCGAAATAGTTGGGAAGATCTTGTTATCACTGTTTCATACATCTCCGATATGGTTAAAAGTAGTGATGGAACGGATATCCGCATATCCGAATTTAGCAGTTTTCGCCGATTAAGTTTTAAAAATTCGTATAAAATCCAGTTCTTGGAATATGAGTATGAAAATTTCCCAAAGTGTTCATAAAAGTGTTCTCTTTCCAATGAACCAAACCGTTTTGAAAAATAAGTTTTAGTTTTTGAGAAAATAATATTTTAAGTTTTGATAAAATTTTCGATGTTGCAATTTTCATCGATAATTTTCAAAATTCGCTATAAAATTAATTTCTTGAAGGATCTTTGTGGAAATATCACCAATTATTAATTAAAGTATCATCTTTTTAGAGTTGCGTCGTTAGTAAAATCAGTATCAAAAAGGTTCATTTTGTATCTTGGATCCAAATAAGTTGACATACATATCTTATTAGCTTTCTTATTAATTTCATTTTTATACAAATATCGCAATAATGTGGCAATATAGGGTATCAGTTCAGAAATGTACGAGAAATTATAAACATAATAGCCGAATAGATATGCCGGCTATCCGGCCGAAGGGGATGCCGAATATCCGATATCCGGCTTTTCGTAAAATCACTATCCGTTCCATCACTGACATGTTAAAAGTAACTGACATACCTTATCATCCCCATCGAATTTTGCACCAGTTCATTCTAAGTTTTTTATTAAGCTATCCATGTTCATGAAGTGATCTTCAGAACATTTCAAGGTGTCTCCGAATATAAAATTTTGATAACGTACTCTTGCTTTCTAAGATAGATTTTAATGATTGTATCACATCGTATGCAGATTCTGCATTTTTTATGCATTCAATATGTAGCTCTGTTTTGCATTGCACAATTACGGACCTAGTTCTTGCATCTAAAATTTTAAACTGTCCTCTTTCTTCTCTATAGCATTTCCATAGCCCTCCAACAATGATAAGGATCTCAACATATCCAGAGCGTAGCTAGAAATACAAGAATTCCAGACTTAACATGCAACGTTGTCAGATTTACTGTTTCCCTAATACTATTCTAACTGTCTTCTAATTCATTTTGGATTTTTAGATGCAACACCCTGTAAGCTTTATCATTATTTAAATCTTCCTCCAATACGAGTTTAACGATATGTAGCACTTAAGATTTGATGTAGCCAGTAAATTAGGCGTTTCCGGAATTTGTTCCACGCTGTTACTCGCGTTAACCTGCATATCTTTCGTCAGTTATGATTTAATTGAAACTGCATTAATTTAACATAACACCGGAACTGATATCTCTCTAATCTCTTCTTGTAGAAAAACTCTACCATTTTAATGAACAAAACTACAATTAGATTGCCTTTTGCTAACTCAACAAGCTTTTTGATCTCGTTAATTATGAGATTTGCATTAACAAATTGAGCAAATACGGATAAAGAGATAAATCCAAAATCTATTAGATTCCAGGTATGAAGGAAATCGATTCTTGAAGCGATTATCCTTTTAATCTACATAAATAATCTGCCTTAGTATCGGACACACTTTTTGTTTATTAGGATGATATGTCGGCCAAATGTCGGTAGAATCAATAGTAAAAATCGGATAAAAACACGGATATATTATCAACAATTGTTCTGTGACCCCCACGCTTAAAACGTATTCTTATAGAAAGCAAATTTGGTAAAGTACGTGGTCTAAATAACGCACCTTAACGCTTAAATTATTTTCGGTCTGGAAATAAGGAGTTTACAAACACAAAAATTAAGGCTACGAAATTTAGCTATCCGCAACCGCGTCCGTGGTTGTGCTTGGTTGGAGATTAAATTCTACCCTTCTTGTTGTACATTCAAAGCTTTTCTTCGTTTTCTTTGCCAGAACGATTTCTGGATGCTGCAAAACTTTCAACACTGAAGTCCTTATTACGCTCATCTGATAGTTGAGTGTTTTACGTATGATAGTCTATGGGCGTTCTTGTTTTGTTGCGATCAGACAACATCATCTCCGTTGCCATTCTGGATGTAACTGCTGTGAGTTTGTTCTGGATCTTCTTATGGATGAGAATTGTGTGTTTTTAATGGTACTATTTCCTCCGAGGGCGAAACGGTGGGATTGTTTTCAGATTTGCTGAAGTCACAAGATGAATCTTCTTCGCTTAGAGTACCACACATTGAAGACTGTGTCTCATCTATTGTATCGTCAGGAATTACGTGATGGTCGAACCGATAGATTCAAGTAGTGTATGTAATCTATTGTCAAAGTTCTTATCCGCACCCTATTGAATACTTCTCCTAAATCTCTTATACTCATCTTGCTGGTTTTGTACCAATCATAAAACAACATAATTTTTTCATTCTAAAAGGTTTCAAATAGTTAGAAGACCGCTTTATCTACAGGGTGCAACTTTTGGGTTGTATTTTTTGGAGGGCAACACAACATGATGTTTATCAACACAATTTGTAATGTTTGCATCCTGATGAGACGAGGTTCTATCAAATATTAACACTACCTTTCTGGCTACCTTGTCTCACCCATTTTGGCTTCAAACGCTAGCCTTTGTAAATAAGCATGGGTGGAATAGCTCGGATTCATTTGTTGGTTTTTTCTTACTATTACCTCTGGATGTCGATCCTCGTTGCTTGCAAAACTTTGACATATCCAATAGGTGAGGTATATTGCTCATCAGACAAAAATTGAACACAGTAACACGCAAGAATTTTCCTGTTATTAGCTGGCCAATCATGGTTAATAGAATTATACGAGCACAGCGGTCGTCTTTCATTTCCATACTAAGAAGATATAGATTGCGACTAAGCTTTCTAACTTGTGATTCACTTCAAATATGGTCGCGTAGTGAATATGATTAAAACAAATAGTTTATGAAAATCGGTAGATTAAGTTGTATATCGGTATAGCAAATGGATTACCTTCTACATTGGTAGGATTGGCAACGCTGCTTCTTTTATGAACGTATTTTTTGGCTTTGACACGAAATGGCCGAGAAATTGATCTCCGACTGAACAAACAATGTAATAGTACACTATGTAGCAATCCTTGGGAATCGTCAGTAGGAAAGAAATATGGGCGACTCAGTTCTGCGTTGATTAGTAAAAGCTTACAACGTGACCAAAAATGGCAGTTATCTCCAACCATGGAACTCAGAACTGGAACTCAAAGTTAAGGAAAACTCCAGTTACCTTTTAGCGACTGATGAAAAATTTTCTAAATGGTATATCTTCACTTGAGCAACAATTTGGTACAAAAAAAATCATTAAAGAAGATCAGGGAGATACTTTATTGCTGAAATAAGACTCGAATGAGAGATATCTAATGTAAGTTGCTTGAGTCGCAAACTTACCCAACCTCAGATTGCTTATTGGAGCAGTTTTCTATAAAGATCTTTGTTGGTAGTTATTTTTAGTATATAGAACCAAGTTCGATGAGTCATATATGAATTATTGCAACTTTAAAAGTTAGGCAACCTCATTAACAATCAACTCTTTAAATTATATATTTTATATTATTACGAGAATTATGTCAACAATTTAATAACTTATTTATCAACAACTACTTAAAAAACACGATGTGAATTCAGTTAAACAACACCCACCTTTAAAAATTTAAATTGTTTTTTTATTAAATTTATATATATTTCCAAATGAAAGATAATATGTAAAAGAAAACAAACTTTAATAAATTAACAATAATATATTTCAACATTTAAATGCGTCAATCAATTAATTCAATGAAAATCATCGAGAGAATGTAAAAGCGCGTTTTCGTCCGTTTTATATCATCATGGTTGGTAAAAGTTAATCGTGTGTGTTTAATATATTAACCGCTATATATTAATATTATCATATAAACATACAAATTTCTACTATGTATACAATTCTACGTACGTACGGGTGGTTTAATTAATTTTCTTTATTAAAACCAAAAGAAACGAATAATAATATACAATAATGCGAAAATGGTTTTGCGATTATGACTATGATCTTTTAATTCTTATCTTTTAAAAATCGTTGGTCCAATTCCGACTTATTTAGGAAGAATTATGTAATAAATAAACGAATCGTAATGAGAAAAAAGGAAATTTAACGTTTTAAAAAATAACGTTGAGATTTTTTTTAGAATAATACGTTTTACGCTTACCTAAACGTTTTTTAGCATTATAATCTAAAAAAATCGTTTTCTCCTTTCTATTGCCTTCTTCCATTCGTTATTATCCTCTCCCTACTTTCTTCTCTGTGTACAGAATTTCTTCTTGGTGGTGATGAACCATTCATCTTCTTCCTTGATCTCTTATATTTGGCCATATCTTCGCCGAATACATCACCCGTTCTTAAAGCTGAGATCAAATCATCAAATTCACCTTTGGTGTCGTTCGTACTGTTTCTCTTATTTTTATTGATGGTTGATAAAATTCCTTCGCGACTATGTTTTCTCTCAAGCGTTAATTTTTTTAATTCCGCTTCTTGTTTAGCGCGTTTCTCCTCTTCTTCTTGCTTCTTTTTCAAGTTTTCATTATCTTGTTTAGCTTCTTGTAACGATGATAGGAATGTATCGAAAATTCCGAAAAATTCGTCTGGTTGAATTTGAGCTGGATCTTCACCAAATAATCTTACAGCTCTATCAAATCGAGTCTAAAAAAAGAGACATTAAAAAAAAACGTTGTGATTAAAAATGGAAATTTTACTTTCATATCTTGATATTGATCTTCAATTTCCGCTAAACGACATGTTGCTGTTGCTTGAAATTCTCTCATAACAGGAACAAATTTATCATTGGCCAGTGGACTTTGAGTTCGATGAAATTCGATTTCTTTGGCAACATCTTTCAATCCCGCTCTTAATTGAGCCATATCTTTGCTTAGTTCGCCCAAAGATACTTTTGATGCATCTCGAACGTGAGGGACGTCATCATCTAATCTCATAACGTCCTTGAACTACAAAAAAAAGAATAAAATTAGGAATGAAAAGAAATGTTTTGTTAAATTTATTACTTTTTTCTCAAGGATTTGAACTAAATAATGCAATAAAGTTGTTCCTTTTGCAGCGCTTGATTTTGTGTCAGCCAATCGATTCAAAGAGGCCAATCTAAAACCGTGCGCATTTCCTCGAGCTCCTCTATTCATATAGTTGCCTAAAGCTAAAACGACTTCTAAAAGTCTACGAAGTCTTCGAGATCGCGAAACTTCTCGCGACGCCTCCATAACTCCTTGTATTCTTGGGGTGATTTCGTTGAGGGTTATTTGGAAACGTTTCTTATAGTGTAGGCTTCTTAATCTTTGTTCGTAATGTGGCACTCTAAATTAAAAGGAAATGAGGAATTAATTTTTTTTATAAAATGTATTTTAAAATAATGATTTGTTACTTTGAAATTTCGTAAAGGAACCTATCAGCTCTGGCTAAAGAATCAATTTCGTCGCTGTGTTCTTCTAAAAGAGCTGCTTCTTCGGGACTAGGAGTGAATTTTAAGAGTTGTTCAACCATATCGATGGGTAATTGTTCTTTACTATCCATGCTTAAAATAGCTTTGGTGATATCTTCGTCGGACATTTTTAGTTTTGATAGGAGGATTGTACAATTTTGGGCTCTTCGACCATCGATCACTGAAAGAACTTTGGTTTTTCCTTTACCTAAGTTGCGTAAATCTTCAATAGAACCTTCATTCTAGAAATTGAAAGTAATTAAATGATTTATTATGAACTTTTTTGTTGATACAATCCCAGTTGACTTTTAAGTAAAACATATTTATCATTACACATTGAAGAACAAATAAAAAGTTTGCAATTAAAAGCCAATAGAAGACCAAGAAAAAATTTCCCCACTAAAAGTTGAAAACATATAACGTGTCGGAATAATGCAAGATGTGGTACTCCACCTTTCTCAAACAGTGTAGAGATATATAGTTTAGCCATTGCATTGAGTGATTTAAGCTGATGAAATGAACAATGTTGTTTGATGGAATAAATAATTAGAAAGAGAACATCTTGAATGTTCCTTTTGTTTTTTTAATCTATCGTATCAATCAGGGGTCAAAAAAAGTTCACCAAAAAGGTAAGAATTCATGCAATGTCGCTAAAAACTCGTTATGCAACCATGTCACCTAACTGTAATGCGAAAATACAAGTTAACGAACAAAAGTTACTTTGACCACTCTACCTCTATAGTTTTCAAAAAAATAAAGTCAAATGATGCAATTAGCGGATATAGCGACCTACCCGGTTACTTTAAGACTAAGCGGTAATAACACCGTTGGGTTTGTCTCAGCTTATCTGCTTTGGTTCAAGAGGTCTGTAGTTCCAAACAGTTTTGAACCTTTCTGCACATACATATTGCATATTATACGTATGCGCAGAAAGGTTCAGAACTGTTCGGAACTACAGAATTTTTGAACCAAAACAGGAATATTTTCATTCTGATATTGAATACGATAATCTTAATGTGATATCATTATGCATAAGTAAATAATTGCCTCTCTATATAAACAATTAAAAATATGTGGTTCAACTTAACGAGCTGTTTACCATGCTTAGATAGAGACACCTGTATTATAAGGCAATGAAAAGAGAATCCAAAGAAACGCTCATTAGGTATAGTTATTGTCACATAACAGAAACTGGTTGAGGTTTCTGTGCGAAAACTCATCTCCCTAACCTTGAAGATAACATCGTTTAAATTTACAAACCAACACCTTAACAAGTGATATATAATTTCAAATATTTTAGAAGGACCACTCTAATATTGGGGTATGTCTAAGTACGAAATGGTAGAGTGCCACAAAGAGAAACATAACCTTTGCGTGCATAAATCTGAGGCCTCATGTGCATGAAAGAGACTTTGAAACATCCTGATATGATTTAAGAGATTATATCCATCAACAAACCTATAGGGTTGAAGATGGATGTGGATGATAACAATGATATTAGCGGGTAACACTCTAAAGAAATAACAACAGAGATGGTAATGAAGCTAGAGATTGAGAGAAATAAATATGTTTTCAAAAAACATCACATTAGTCACAATTTAATATGATATTTAACTTACAGCAACTCCGTTTTTCTGATAAGCACAAAACAATTTATCGATACAATCCAACTCCATAGCATTATACAATTTAGTATCATCCAATTCACTCCAAATAGTTCCATTAACCTTAGTCTCTGGAAGTTTGGACCAATTAAAACTTTTCAAAGGATTCGAAGGTTGAGGTACGTTCTTTTTTGGTACTTCAATTTTCAATGCTTCTGTTGGTGGTGCCATAGGTGCGCAAGGTGGTGGTGGAGGGCCGGGAGCTGGAGGAGGAGGTGGTGCCAATGGTGGTGGTGGAGGAACTGGTTTGATTTCCGAAAATTCTAATTTTGAAACATTCTCCGCGTTTGGTTTTAATCCAATCATTTTGGCATCGTCTGGGATACTTCCGGAGTTAACGATTTGTTCTAATCGGTGTCTTTCGCCGCGTTCACAAGTGACTTGTCGGTCTAAATCGGCGGCGCGGTATTCCATTTCTCCTAATCGTTGTTTGGTTTCAATGTGAGCTGCGGTTTCTTTTTCGAGACGTTCTTTTATCCGAACCAAACTCGATTCGATGTCCTCTTTTTCTTGGGTTCTTTGGTCGAGTTCTTGTTCTTTTTTTGCTAGTCGATTCGACATTTCGGTGTTTTCTTTTTCTAGTTCTTCGGCTTTCTTACGAGCTGCAACTAATTCTTCTTCTTTAGCTAAAAGGTGGACGATTTCTTTAACGTTTATGTTAATCGGGGCAACATCCGGGTCTTTTATGACGAGTTTTGTTTTATCCGATGTATCGGTTTGCTGAAGTACTATTTGTTGGACGATTCTATCAAAAAGTAACCAATGTTGTGGATGAGAACCGTAATCTAAAGGCATTAAAATGCAATGTCTCAATAATGAGAGTAGGTGAGGATAAGCTGACGTATGGCTTAATTTTTTTCTTAAAAGTTCGAACATCGCCGTGGCGCTTTTAGTATCAACGTGTTCTTTTTCGAATTTCCTCGCTAATTCTTTTTCGTCTTCGTTTCGCACCATTTCAAAGAAATCCAAATGTCTATCCAACGTTTCGTTTTCATGGCCACGCAATTTATCGATAACGGGTTGTATGCCTAACATTAAAAGTTCGTATCGGAGGTGTAACCTAAATTCTAAATTTTCTTGGCCTAAACCATAATTGAGCACGGCGTTTACAAACGACATTATGGCAGTTTTTAAATTAACCTCGTCCCTGTAAATCCCAGTCGATCGATCCAAATCGTTGATTATCCCTTGAAACCTCGTCCTTTCGAATGCAAATTTTTGATAATGTTCCATCGCGTCCAATACTTTTTTATGACCACCAGAAACCAAACAAACAGCACCTAATATCTCTAAGGCCGCTATTTTAGTCTTTATATTTTCAGTACTAAGCGATTGAGCAATTATGTTTATACTGGTTGGATGAGCTAAAACATGGGCTCTTCCAGTCTGGAAAAAATATCAAAACAATATTTATGAATACTAATTATAAAACTTGATGAAAGAAGTGTTTACTTACAGAATTGTTCATTAAAGCTTTGACACAACCAATGATGCTGGTGTGAATAGTGCTTTGGGCGGTAAAATAATCCATTTTTTGCAGAAATATTAAAAGAGCAGGAAGTCCTTCCAATTCCATAAATCGTAATACAAAACTATTTGTTGATGTTCTCAATGCTGTTTTTAATCCGTCTATTTGTTTTGTTCTTGTTCTAACTTCCTCGTCTGTATTTACTTCTGGGTATCCCATCTATAATAATAAAAGTAAGTTAGATTTCTCTTCAACATAACTGCGGTAATACGCGATTAAGTTTTTTGTTTATTAAACACTAATACTCTTTAATTATCATTTAGAAATCTCTTCATACACTTGATACAATCTCTGACTTCAACCCTTTCTCTTTTACTTCAATTATATTTATCAATAAACAAAAAACTTAATTCTGTTTAATTTTTTGATTTTACCTCCGCAAGAGTTTTCAGTCTATCGATGTAGTGTTCTGGAGCATGAGACTCGTCAACCGTATCTTCTCCTTTTCTAGAGCAATAAATCTGCCACTTTTTCTGTTGCGGAAGGTTCAGCATCGCGGTTTTATTTGGTGCCGTCAGGTCGAGTTCTTCCTGCAATTATAAAGTCTAGGATCAATCATCGGTGCATTTCAGGAATCTCATCGATCGATTTTTTTTTAATCCGGGTGAGAACAAATGGGAGAGGAAACGGTTGAGATACCAATCAGGAGATAATGCGGAAAATTGGTCGCATAATATAATAATAGACATCAGTTCTGGTTATCTCTAACTAACAAAAATCTAGCTTATTTTTTGCAAGTAAAAGGAATTGTAGCTGAACTTAGAAACACAGCTGCACACAATCTGTAATCTCAATTATAAACCTTTATAGATCATCGTAAAATGTCCAATAAAACTCATAATTAAACGTTAAATTGAAGTGCGCAAGTTCATATCGACGGGGACATAAAATAGTGGAGCTTAGATCGTACTCCCCACACATTGCCTCGTATCCTTAATGGCCAAGAGATAAAATAAGTCCAACGCGAAGACGTCTAATATATTACTAACCCATTTACGAGAGCACAACCAGGGAGAATTTATGCGTTAGAGATTAATTCCCCGTTCATATCGATGATCGATTTATTACAATTCTTAAATAGAACCGATTCAAATTGAAACAAGTTACTATAAACTCATTATTTATCGCTATTTACTCCCGGTCTTTTAGATCTTTATCATTCGACTGAAAATTTTCTTTTAATAACCATAAATTAGTATTTATTAAACGACAAAAAGCATTTTCAACCGATATTTACAGCTAGAAAAGCCATCTGCCATTTTTAAAGTACAGTTTTAATCCGCAAAGATACCGTGAAGTGGAAAATCGACGGATATGTTTGCTAATGTAGCAAGCATACTGTTATGTTGATATTATAACCGATTGAAAGACGGGCATTAACTGTTTATAGTAGAATAAGTGTGAAATCGATCTACGCCGGTTTGACTGATCGATTCAATCCCAATTTGTGCTTTACAGCTGTTCAATTTTAAACTATTTTATATAAACAAAAATACACCCGTGTGACAATAGCAATAAACTTCTCAGCAACAAATTTTTAACCTTGTTTTTCCATCTACTCTGCAAGTTGATATCTTCGTTGTCTTTAGAGATAGTGGAATATTAAGTACATCAAAAAAGTTTGATCTTTTCTTCATCTACCTCAAAATTAGCAAACTTCAAGTCCGTGTGCAGCCATTATGGAATTAAAAAAAGTTTCATCCATTTGTAAAGTACACACTACAGAATCGGTATATAGCTTAACTTTTCTTAATACAACTCTTTTATTTGGTAGGAACAAAAAAGTAAAGCATATAGGAAATTTTCTGCCGTATGCAGTGGTATATAAGTTTAGTAGATCATATATGGTTGCACAGGCATGATGTTAATGACGGTTACGATGGTGAAACCATTTATATACGGCAATTATACGCGGTTTTTGGTGGAGAAAGTACTTGTGCAATCATGACACCGACCAAATTGATATATCACTGCATAGAGCGGAAAATTTCTTACAAGTTGTATATGGTCACAGAGTTTTGTGCATATCATATAAGAAAGTTATGACGCCGTAAACATTTACATACGGCAATTATACGCGGTTTTGTATATAAGCTTTTGGGGAGAAAGTGCTTGTACAACCATGCGATCTACTAAAGTTATATACCACTGCATAGAGCGGGAAATTTCTTATGGATTATATATGGTCATGGAGTTTTGTCCATATCATATAAGAAAGTTATGACGCCGTAAACATTTACATATGGCGATTATACGAGGTTTTTGCAGCTTTTGGAGGGAAATGCTTGTGCAACCATGTAATCTACTAAAGTTATATACCACTGTATAGAGCGAAAAATTTCCTACACATTCTATATGGTCATGGAGTTTTGTGCATATCATATAATAAAGTTATGACGCCGTAAACATTTACATACGGCAATTATACGCGGTTTTTGAAGTTTTTGGGGGCAAAATTCTTGTGCAACCTTGCGATCTATTAAAGTTATATACCACTGCATAGAGCGGAAAATTTCTTATGGATTGTATATGGTCGCGGAGTTTTGTTCATATCATATAAGAAAGTTTAAACATTTACTTACGGCAATTATACGCGGTTTTTGCAGCTTTTGGAGAGAAATGTTTGTGCAACCATGCGGTCTACTAAAGTTATATACCACTGCATAGAGCAGAAAATTTCCTACACATTCTATATGATCACGGAGGTTTGTCCGTATCATATAAAAAAGTTATGACGCCGTAAACATTTACATTCGGAAATTATATGCGGTCTTTGCAGCTTTTGGGGGGAAAATTCTTGTGCAACCTTGCGATCTACTAAAGTTATATACCATTGCATAGAGTGGAAAATTTACTATACTTTCCATATGGTCACGGAGTTTTGTCCGTGTAATATAAGAAAGTTATGACGCCGTAAACATTTATATACAGCAATTATACGCGGTTTTTGCAGTTTTTGGGGGGAAATGTTTGTGCAACCATGCGATCTACTAAAGTTATATACCACTGCATAGAGCGGAAAATTTCCTACTCATTTTATATGATCACGGAGTTTTGCCCGTATCATATAAGAAAGTTATGTCGCCGTAAACATTTACATTCGGAAATTATATGCGGTCTTTGCAGTTTTTGGGGGGAAAATTCTTGTGCAACCTTGCGATCTACTAAAGTTATATACCATTGTATAGAGTGGAAAATTTACTATACTTTCCATATGGTCACTGAGTTTTGTCCGTGTAATATAAGAACGTTATGACGCCGTAAACATCTACATACAGAAATTATACGCGGTTTTTGCAGTTTTTGGGGGGGAAATGGTTATGCAACCATGCGATCTACTACAATTATATACCACTGCATAGAGCACAAAATTTCCTATAGATTCTATATGATCTCGGAGTTTCGTCCGTATCATATAAAAAAGTTATGATGTCGTAAACATTTCCATACGGCACTTATACGTGATTTGTACAGTTCTTGTGGGATCCATGGGATCTACTAAAGGTATATACCACTATATAGAGCCGAAAATTTCCTATAGATTTTATATGATCTCGGAGTTTTGTTTGTATCATATAATAAATTTATTATCCCAAAAGTGATTTAATTCGCTCCAAAAGCAAGTCGGTGTGCGAACTTCATTTTACAAAAAGAAATGGTTTTAAAATCTTGTATTTGATTTTTGTTATGCACCCATAGAAAGACCAGAAAATTTCCTATATGATTGATTCTGTGTTACTTTTTTGTTCTTACTAAATAAATGAGTTGTATAGAGAAAGATTAATCTACCAGTTCTAAGTGTTTGGTGTTTATTAGCTGTATTTTCTGGTTGACGCCGATAGATATTAACCGAACAAAATTCAGATAGCTCAAACTGTGTTCTTTTCAAATTGATAAAGCTTTCTTTTATATTTCGTTCCACAACGGCTGCATACGGGCTTGAAATCTTGTAGCATTCATAAATAAAGAGAATGACATAAAGCTTTGTCTGGATTTAATGAAAAAAAAAAATATATATATAAACTCAGATATACACGGTTGAAATAGTCGAAGTTAGGTTCGCGTGCGATCTTCAGGAATGTCTTTAGAGCTTCGAGCAATTCTCGGAAACCACAATCGTTAATTACGTCCAATAGAGATCGAGACGATAATGGTAAAGACCGGCGTGATGAAATCGAGAGCGCATGCCTTCCTTTAGCTTCTGCACACAGCTCGGACCACTGCTGTTGCTGTTGCTATCTTCAAACGACTAATTGCGCGATATTTCTTGTGCAGCTAACGCATTTGTCGTACACCTTATCTAGAAGCTTCTTTGCCCCGGAATAACAACAATGTAACGAAGACGGAATAAGGAAGTGTTTTGTATTGAGTTTCTATTTGAGATGTGCTTAAATTAAAGTACGTATTCAAGAAAATAATTAGATGAGTTTATAAGAAGTTTCTTATTTCTTTGGCTTTCGAATGTTTAAAACATCGAAATCGTATAAGAAATCGACCGCTACTTATAAAGTGATTTATTACTTGGATAAAAGATGACGAAGTGTCAATCAAGAAGGTCTCGATGGAAAAATTCGAGAAAGTTATGAAAATACCAAACATCTCAAGCGCGCCAATAAACTATTCAGAACGAGTCTCGCGTGGTTTTATGACGTTTTCTCTATTTATTTATGCCTTAGATTCCGCTTGTATACTAGTACTGTTATTAAAATCTAATTACTGCCTAATTTAGTATTTAATGGCCGACAATTTCTTCTTACTCGCTATGGCAGGTAATAATTTCCGCGATCGCGGTTATATTTAAGCTTTTCACGACTACTTCCATTATTTTAAATTTTGCAATTATGTCCCTCGAGAATATATATAAATTCTTTTCTTATGTCTTAATGAGTCTTAGTCCATTAAGTTGATAATTATTTAAATCATAACTATAAATCTTAACGGTTATGAAATCTAACTTTTTTATGATTTTAAAACAAATTAATTAATAATTATTTTTTATAAACTTTAAAAAAATAGAAAAATAATTAAATCATGAAACAAGAAGAGTTCTCAAGCATCTTTTGCAGAGATTAATAGTCCATCCGACAGACCAGGAACGAACGAGGAAGAACTTGATTCTGCAACGCGATGGAAAGTGAATGGACCAGAACGATCCTCGTCGGCCACATAATGCGTGGTTTATTGAGTCCATCGTAATGATGCATTGCAACGGTCCCGTTTGCCGGACGAAGGAATCCGTTACGTTCGTTGGTCCATAATGTACTAAATCGAACACCCAACAAACCGTTTTCTTTCCGTTAAATTAAAAAAACTTACCACAAGTTCTGCAAATTTTGCATCTAATTCATCCGGTGGTGGCATTGGTTGTGTTGGTGTTAATGCTTGTAACGTTAATGTTCCACTATTTTCAACCACACAATAAGTTATTTCAGGTGGTTCGTCATCCTAGAACAAAAAAAGAAGAAAAAAAATTAAAAAGGAAATTTGATTCTGAAAGGGAAGTAGTTTGTTCTTGAGTGCAGGTGAACTGGATAAGCTTTAAGAGGCTATGCTGTAACATGAATAGTATGCGGCAGAGAACATTATAATGGCTCAATTTCACTTTTTACGGGTGAGATCAAGGTTGCCGTCTTTAAGCGTGGCGTAAGATGGCGCTTTCCGCTTCTTTCTTGACCCGGAGTACTCTGATGGGATCGGTTCGTTCAAGGAAAAGATCACGGTTTCTCGCTCGTTTATCTTTACTTTTACCCGACGACGATGAGGCAATTCATCAGATTACCTCAGATTAAAAGAGTTATTTATAGGTTGTTTAGTTTTCACACAATAAACACATTTTTTCTCTGTAGAACAAATCGCTTTTTATCCAGTTGACCTATAATTTTAAATCGAAACTAATCGTTTTTTGACTATTCTTTAAATTAATTATTACTAATCATTTTGATTGTTAAATAAATCTTTTGAAACAATAGTTCGTCATCATCGCTTAAGTCATCCATTTTAAATTGGTCAAGGAGAAATCGAAAAATATATCAATACTTTTTTATTGAATTCATATGAAAGTTATTAAGAAAATTGCCGCGAGTAAATTCCAGTAGCGAGTACGACAAATGTAGTAGATGTGTCCCAAGTCATTCGCTTTTGATCGTGTTATTCTTCTTGGTTTATTTCATTTTGCTAGTTTTGTTGTGTGATTGGATTGGAGGTATTTACAAAAAGGATAACTAGTAGTTTATTTCCTCTTTACCAGAAGAATGTCAAACAGGAAATCATTACTTTAGTTTCCTCGAAGGTTTTTTTAAACATAAATTTCTTATATGTGGTTGTTGGAATTATTGGCTAGTATGAATCATTTAAAATACTATGATTCTGTTATTTCAAGGATATCAAGGAATCTATTAATGTGGAAATTGTTTACCAGATTAATTAGTCGAGATATTATCAGAACCATAAATAGGATTTTTAAAGCACTTTATTACAAAGCCCCCGAATGGAACTGGCACCACTTGAACCTAAGACTCAAGGCACAACATTCGAATAACATTAAAGTATCATGAAGCAATACAAGTTTCAACAGTGCAGATTAATTCAAGCATATTCACAAAACATCTTATTAATAATGGGAAAAACTCGAGACTGTTTTCAGTATGTTCAGTTCGAGGAGAAATTTCTTGTGGTTGTCCCACTCTATCATTCTTAGGAAAAAATTGTAGCTACATTCATTTTGCGAATTCTTCTTGAAAATCGCTATACACTTCCGGAAAGTATTTGCAAACATTGCTCGTTCCACCATCGGTACAACCAAATGTTAACTAGAACTGGGATCTGCGTTTTTGTATAGTCTACAAATCATTTAAGAAATTGTGAGAAACCTCAGCTGAATACAGATTTTTTCCAACTTGGATCTATGATCTATCTCCCATGTTAAATTTTCATGATTTGTTCATGAATAATCGATATATTTACCAGTCTTGTTGAGGTTTTCATCCCAATTCACACCGTTTGGGTTGGGTTCAAGATCGTGGTACTCCAAAGGCTGCACCACAGTCTTACCACAGAATACTCAACTTATTTCGGACGAGAGTGAAGGAAGGTAAAAGCTTGATAGAAAAATCAAGTACATGATTAGCATGTACTTGACGAGTATTTTAAGAATTCTCTATTTCGACCTGGAAATGAAGCTGTACCACATGAAAAACATTTAGACCCTTTCTAATGCTGATAAAATTACTCGTGTGCGAGCTGAAGAAGTGTTGTAAGAAATGACGAACCTAAACCATAATATTGTGTTCTTTAAATCGGCTGAACCTATATAAAAATCCCTATGAACTTATAGATTACACTCATATATTTTTAATCATCAAACTTTTCTTATTTAGATATGTAGGAGAATTTTGTCGTAGATAATGTCGTCCTCCGTATCATAACATCTGGTTACTTGCAGCAAAATGATGCTCCACCATATTATTCCTTAGCGGTTTGAGATTACCTGTATGAACCAACTAGTAGACATTGGATTGAAAGAAGTGGCCTGGACTTGGCTCTTTGTCATTTTAGGCTACGATATACACTCAAAACCGAATGTTTGATACAAGACTTACTGACATTTAAGGAACGGATTGTTTCTGTTGAATGAAAAGACGTGGATTAAGAACCAAGGAGTACAAGTTGAAGCACTGCAATCGTTTTATTTGAACTTGTATACATAGTGTGTAATGTTATCATATTCAAATAAGTCGAAACTTCGCGTTGGTCCATCTCGAAGATGTAATGTTCAGCGAGAATTAAGAATTGCACCTAAGACAAGAGATATACGAAAGAGTACAACTGCTCAAAGTATGGTTTTCATCTAAAAAGTGATCTTTCATCTAATAACTGAAGAAAATATGCATTACTTCAATTACAGAGCCAGTACATTTATTGTATCTCCATCCCTTTTAAGATTGAATGTTGAAATTGCCAATGAATAATAGAGTCCAGTCAGGGTATGGAACTACCCAAAACCTAATTCACTTTGAGTTGATATTCAAGAAAGATGAGATGAATGTCATTCCGAACACTTCATGTTGTAGAATTACCTTGAATACGACGGTTGAAAGATCCGAAGATCTTGGGGTTGCACAAAAACGGCGTGCCATTTTAAGACACTACCTGTAGTTAGGGTTTTTATATATTATGGAACTATGTTAGACGCTCAAGATAGGTTCCTTAAAAAAAAAGGCTCCATTATGGCCTACGATCACTGTCTCTTGAAGAGTATTTGTAATCGGCATCATGGGATTTTACATCAAAATAAAACAGGAAAACTTTATTAGCTTAGTGTAAGGTTGACTAGTGGACAAGAAAATTAAGTGTTCCGACATTATTATATTGGCAGAAGCGGGACATTACACCAAGAGACGAAGTATAAGGACCGAAACTACACAGGATTAAAATATTATAGGCACTTACGAAATATATTATGTTGAACGAAATCATCAAGTATAGAAAAAAAAATCAAGTGCAGAAACAACATATTGTCACCTAAGAATTATTTTGAAACAAATTTCTTACGTCTATATCGAAGTAATTTGGATTTAAACTGCATTTTGTTGTTTATCTTATATATAAAAAGTTATCAAAACACATTAACTGCAAAAATATGTGAGCCATGTCAGCGTCAAAAAAACCGCGTTGAAAATGAAAATGATGCTAATTTTATACAAAGTGTTTTTTTATTGTTATTACTTATTTCATAGTAAATTAACAATAATTGGTATTACTACAGTTGATAAAATTTTTGGTCAATTTATGGCATGTATTGATTTAATATCTACGTTTTTCTTTACATCCAATAATAGCTTTTTGAAATGCATTTTACATGATTAATAAAGTAGTCTAATATTACTATTGGATCTATTGCGTTGATTCCATTTACATCCAGTTTCATTCAGTCTAAAGGTTGTCAAAATTCCAGTGTTCCATTCCTTAATAACTTTAAACTTTTGAATAAGGAACTTCATTGTATACACATTTTTTGGTTAATGTTTGAAAATCAAAAAAATCTGATGGTTTCATCTGTATTCATCATCATCATTAAGTTATACTACCCACTGGGGGACATAAGCCTTTCCCATATCTTCCCACTTCCTCCTATCTTGTGCAACCTGAATCCAGATTCCAGCGGTTCTCTTCACGTCGTTTTTCCATCAGGTTGGTGGGCGTCCTCTGCTTCTGTGTGCATCCGCCCTTGATCTTCATTGCAATATCCTTTTTGTCCATCTACCGTCAGTCATTCAACAGCATCTTCAAACAGAGCTAGTTTTGCGTCTGATGATGTCGTTTGGAACTTAAACTTGAAGGGTTATTCCCAGCATTGACTTTTCCATTTCCGTTGCATCACTTAATGTTTTTCTTGGTCATCCTCAAAGTCTCTGATCCATATGTCAGTACAGAGAGAATACATTGGTTGAAAACTTTCCATTTTAGGCATATTGGAAGGCTAGATCTGAATACTATTCTTAATTTTCCAAACGCTGCCCATGTCAGGTCAATTCTTCTCATGTCCCAAATACTTGTATGTGCCTACCTGTTCTATGCTATTGTTATTAATTTTGATGGAATAGCTCAGAATAAGGTTTGTTATATATTGGGTTTTTGTAGTGTTTTTTTTGTAAACTTACCTCTACTCCTGCCTGATACAGGTTTTGTAACATAGTTTGTGCTTGTGACATATTGTCTGCTATTAGAACAATGTCGTCAACGAAGCATAGGCTCTCCATCAATATTAATTCCGATGCAGTTCATTTGCATTAAAACAGGTTTTTTTTGTAGACGTGCTAATGGTAACCAGGTTCTTCACTAATAACACTGGACTAAAAATTTCAATAAAACGCATTTTTCTTTCTAAAAGACATCTACTTCTTGGACGTTACTAAGTCCAGGTTCCGAGAATTTTTTGATGTATCTATTGTATTTGTGAATGATTTTTGATGAAATATTGCAGCTCAAGAAACATAATGCTATTCCTATTCTGGACAATTCTGATCCAATATAACTGTACATAATAAGGATGTGTTGGAGTTGGTACAAAGTAATTCTGACTCTGTTAGCTTAATATTACCCTTCTATAGTAGCTGGATATGGTACAATATAATACAATAAAAACGGTAGGGGTTGTAACTGCGTAGAATACAAAAGTGGATAAGGTTCAAAATAATTCTCAGGCGATAATGAAAATATTATGCGCAGAACCAAAGTATTACTTCAAGCAGCAAGTCATTAGAAGAAGAACCGAAATATTAGGAGATGGAATGTTATGGTCATAATATTAAGTGAAAGAAATCAGGAAACAAAACATTAGGCACAAACGTCCAATTGAGGACTCCCAATAGTTCTCAATTTGTTATGTATAAAGTAGTGGAAACATATGGCGATTAATAAGCTCTTATTTAAATATGTCAAAATTTAAAATAGTCTCCTTATTAACATTGTTTCTTCCAAATTTCTCAAAATAAAAAGAACGATTGTTGTATCATACCAAAGCTAAAAGTATCCTCTTCAAAATGATATACAACACTTTGTCATTTTATTTTTAATTTAGAACCGGAACAGTGAACTTTGCAGATGTTGAGGAGGAAGTATTTTAATACAAATGGATCTCATTTAACTTGTTGACTGGACATCGAGGATTCGAAGCATCTAATGGTGGAGGGAGAAGGAAAATTGAAACGCATTTGCAACTTGTCCGAGGAAGATGTTATTGTTTACTGTCAATAATGAACAACACAAAATATTAATCAAAAACTTAGATAGAAGTGAAAAATTTTAACGCATCATTTCATAAATACTAAATGTGTCGTAGCAATAAAATGTAATTTAATCCAATTTCTTAATAACTTTGTTATTAATAATCTTATTCAACAAGTCCTTTTATTGCTCTAATAAGTAATGCGAGTTCATTTATGATCTACGTAATAGGTAATTAATCATTTGTCGTAATGAGTATTTAATTGCACTAAAACTTTACGTTTTACCAAAACCGATTTATCGTTTCTTATTAACTTTCTACAATTTGTCAATTAATACAAATCCATAAACCAACTAAAAGTTCCATATCAGAAACCCACATCACTAAAATATATTCGTTTTCTTTAAATTGCCTTAAACATTTTTTAAATTAGCGTTTACAACCAATAAACATTTTAAAATGATAATAACCATTATAAAAATTCTTTCCAATTTCCGATTAAAATTTTATTCCGCATCCCATCTGGTAAAGTACGAAATTAAAAGGTACGAAATTAAAATATTCACTGAATCGAAACCCAATCAACATTATACACAGCAAAGGAAAGTTTCATTATGCCATAACTTCTTGTCCCATAGTCGTCGTCGTCGATGACACACACACATACATATACACAGTTGGAGGAGATAAACACGCATCGATGTGCTTGGTTGTACCGCGGAGAAAAGAAGTAAAAGGGGAGAAAGTGGAACTGAATTATTAAGTGACCCCATCAAGATCGCCCAGAGGTGTTTGTTTCGATAATGACATGCTGGTTTCGCCGAAAATAACATCACGGACATGTATCCAATGTCTCGACACCTGGCCTTTAATTCCTCTAAATCTATCTAAGGATCTAAGAATTTATTCGTATGGCGCCGAACAAGTCATAAACCATTTTGAAAATTCATTTAAAATTACTTAAAGAGGCGTGGAATTCAATTAAGTCAAAACAGAATATGTTCAATTTATTAAAATCAAATAAATCATTTTAGAAAATATCAAGATTGATGATTAATTTGGTTAAAGAAAATATGTTATGTGGTTTTGAGTGAGTACTTAGAGGAAGGAAAAGAAACGGCAAGTTTCTCTCCTACACAAAGCACCCGGTGGGCTTCTAAGGTCATGAAGTGGAAGAATATGGGCGATAGTAGGTCAGAGACGTGTAGTTCCTCTTAGCTGGGTTTTGCGGCACCGAGTATTACCACGCATCGTTTCGCCTAAGTTTCCGATGAATATTAATGTTCGTGGTTGCAATCTGCAATCTCCCGGATTTAACTTTTTCATAATTATTTCGCTGTGTTATTGTTCTCTTGGCACAAATATTAAGATTAATCCAAAATTAACAATTCAAAAGCAACAATACGAGTGTTAATTCATCATTTTTTTAACACACCTAATAATGTTTTGAGCCCAACCCAAAAGAATTTATTATTAACGATCTCACGGTTTAATTTTTTTCTCTTTATCGGTTATTTATCGTCTAATTGAATAAATTGAAAATGGTGTGTACAGGTTGGTTCAATGTCGCAAATCGTACGTAAATATCTGCGTAAAACCTTTTTAGTTTCGTATAAGGCACTCTATAGCACACCCAAAGTCTCGAAGATAGTGAAAGTTCAAGTAATGATCGCGACGGGGTCGTTCGTCACATTACAAAACGCGAATGAATTCAACCAATTTGACATTTTCTTTTGCTGAGAGGGCACGACTTTACCGATCTCCTCAACAACCACCACTAGCTGTTACTAAAATAACTAAAGAATCTAAAGACTTTAAAGTTCTTGTCGGCTATTGTCTTAGTTTTTTTTTATTGCACTGAGAACTTAAGAATGAAATGAAGTTGAGAAATACTTCTTGGAGGCTTTAAAAAATTAACTTACCTGCAGACAGCCACACCATCCGCGTCTTGTGCGGACGGCAGGCATTGCAGGGATATGTAATCGTGGCAGGGCGCTGGTTAAATTGTCCCACGCCGGCAGTTTGATGCTACACTTGGGGAGTCCCTGAAAATAAAATTACAAATTAGACGAAGTCAAAAAAAAATTCCAATAAATCATAAAATTGAAGGTCATAATTAATAGGATAAATAGTATCTACTGGTTTATTGAAAGAGACAGATGGCTGCATGAATATTAATACTTGTACTGGCGCTTTGCTTATTTTTCCATTTTATTCTCAAACGAAAGACACGCAGTAAATGTATTGCATTCGAAATGTGTAAGGACGTGTCCTTAGACGTTTAGATTATTACGCTTTATGCATATATGCAAAAGGGGCTTTTAATTAAATAAGAAATGTTGTAGGTTATTGGTTCTTAGAGATTAAATTAATTACATACATAGAAAGTCAGATCGAGATTTAATTCGAATAACATTCCTTTATTTTGAATTCTTGCAATTTTTAAAACGTTTTAAATCAAAAACTTTGTGGTGATCGACTAAAATTTATATTTTTCGGCCAAACCCAAACAACCAGGTTATGGTATATCATGATGTCGGTTATAAAAAAACACACGATGTAAAGTGCTACAAGTAAACATCTTAAGTGATCGGTTTCGTGAGCCACCAAGTGTTCAGCATCTCCCAACATTGTAATTATTAATTTAAAATCGTTTAATTCGTTTAATAAGCCATTTCAAAACATCTTCGTGATGATGAAATATTTTTGACATTGAAATTTATATTCAATTTATATCATTGCTAAGCGAGCAATAATATTTTCCAATGAAAAATGAAAATAGAGAATCGACATTTACGGTTATGAACCTTTTTTGTTCCTAATTTTTTACAAGAAAATAATTTCCTATCATTTTTCAGAAGACTGTATCAACAGGTTTTGTTGAACTTTGTTCTGAACAAGGTTACAACGTGGTATACTTAACCTTAAAAGCTATTTTAATCCTCATCCTTACTTCTTTTTAACTTCATGTGTTAAGCAACACCACTGCAGGCAGTAACTATTTGTTTATTTCTCTCATAATTAAAATTGATTAAAATTCATTGGTGTTCAATTCTGCATATTTCCCACAGACAGTAAATTAGCCTAAACATAAAATATTATTCATCAAGGTTACATCGCCAGCCAGCTACTTCTCTATATCGACAAACGCTATAAGAATTTGTCATTTCACTGAACATATTTTCAAATTACTTCTAAACAACAACGTTGGGCAACCTAAGCATAGCTTTTAAGCTCCTTTGATGAAACTAACTCAAGATCCCCGTTAACTAACTTTAAGCAAATTACCATATTTCATCCAGAGTTCAACCCTTTTGGAGAAGTTTCAGCAACGCAGCAAAAAAAAACAACTAATTCGTTTAATTTTCATATTTTCTCGTATTTCTGTCGTCCTTTGTGCATCTCAGAAGAAAAATGTAACAGAGCAATACTGTTACGCATGAAATTTGCTACAAGTTTTGTTCTAAAAGTTTTTTTTTGTAACATGCTCAGATTAACATTTTGAAACAACAACTAATTCGCCAAATGTACACATTTTCGTATTGTTCTCGATATCTATGCGTCTGCAAGCAAAAGTGCAAAAGAGCAATATTGTTAACCATAAAATTTGCTACAACTTTTGTTATTAAATTTTTTTTGTAACATGTTCAGATTCTCCAGTGTTACCATCAACAACTTGAAGAAACAACTAATTCATCAAATTTTTACGTTTTTGTATTTTGCTCGATATCTATACGTCTGAGACCAATAGTGTCAGAGAGCAATATTGTTAACCATACAATTTAGTACAACTTTTGTTCTTAATTTTTTTTTGTAACATGTTCAGATTCCCCAGTGTTACCATCAACAACTTGAAGAAACAACTAATTCGTCAAATTTTCACATTTTCGTATTTTGCTCGATATCTATACGTCCGAGAGCAAAGGTGCAAGAGAGCAATATTGTTAACCATAAAATTTGCTACAACTTTTGATCTAAAAGTTTTTTTTGTAACATGTTCAGATTCCCCAATGTAGCATCACCATCTTGAAACAACTAATTCGTCAAATTTTCACATTTTCGTATTTTGCTCGATATCTATGCATCTCAGAGCAATAGTGTAAGAAAGCAATATTGTTAACCATAAAATTTGCTACAACTTTTATTCTAAAAGTTTTTTTGTAACCTGCTCAGATTCCCCAATGTCACCATCACCATCTTGAAACAACAACTAATTCGTAAAATTTTCACATTTTCGTATTTTTCTCGATATCTATGCCTCTCAGAGCAAAAGTGTAAGACAGCAATATTGTTAAGCATAAAATTTGCTACAACTTTTGTTCTAAAAGCTTTTTTGTAACCTGCTCAGATTCCCCAATGTACCATCACCATCTTGAAACAACAGCTAATTCATCAAATTTTCACATTATTGTATTTTTCTCGATATCTATACGTCTGAGAGCAAAAGTGCAAGAAAGCAATATTGTTAAGTATAAAATTTGTTACAACATTTGTGCTAACAGTTTTTTTGTCACATGCTTAGTTTCCCAAATGTTACCATCAACAACTTGAAGAAACAAGACAAGGTCTCCACAGAAGTATTTCCTCGAATTCTAGTCCATTACTCATGCTTTCTGGGTGACAATGTACTGCAAGTAAGTCATGCAAATACTTCCTCCAGTTAAGAAAATGCGCTTTCCCAAGCGCTAAACCGCCTACGCTGCAATTTCTCGCCGTATTCGAGCTGTTTCGTGATGTACAGAGAGGATGTTGGTAAGTTTGATAACTCTGAATAAATAAGCCAAAGGCCAAAATTAACACCTTGAGGTCAAATCATAACCTTGCGAAAATGAGGTAGATCTGTGATAATTTGTAAAACCAATGTATTGAACATTTAAAAGAAGTATTTGGTAGTATGGAAATCATATTGCATCAACACCCAAGTCACAACAAGTTGAAAAAACGTTCTGTCTTGCTTAACGGAGTCGACAACAAACTCGTCTCTGTCATACTCTGCGCTTACTTTATCGTTAAGTTCATTTTTATTTGGAGTATATTCGCCATCGTCCTTAGTGTTAGTGTATCTTATCAAAGTACGATTCACTCACTTGCAGAATCTAACGAATAAGTCGAAAGGATTAAGTTAAATTCTTAACGTTAAAGAAATTGTTCAAAAAAGTTAACAGATATTAAAAGTCTTTAGAAAAGAAGCAAAACAAAAATAATTTAACCAGAAGAATTTTTAGTAAAAAACGTAATTCCATCGGTGAACTGAACTGATTAAAACTATTGAAGCGTAAAAATCAGGATAAATTGAAGAGGTTTTCATTGAAACCAACTCAGAAAAAGAAAACATTTTTGCACCTTTATCTTCGCTTTCAAGAAACAAATCAAACACAACCATTTGAAAAAACACAAAATTCCTGCATATTTTTTAACACTTTTTATGGGAAATCTTAAAAGCTAATAATTTCCGTATTAATATTTAAAATTACACGGTAAATAAAAAACATTCGAAACGTCAATAAAACATTTAAGGTTAACAGGAAAAAGAATTTTAAATGCTTTTACACATTTTCAACATAAATCAACAAAAAAACCTTCCTTATTTAATTCCTTATTAGTAAATTTTAAATTAAAATTTTCGTCGACTGCGCGGTTCCGCTTATTGTTTGTTGTGGGTGTGTTTTAAACACACCTTCGTCACAACTTTTTTTTATAAATATTCAATTACCCGGACGCTTTTTTTATAAAACATTCCTCAACTCTTCCGTATTGCATAAATTCTCGGTTACGTTTGAAATGAATTAGAGCAAAACGAATGTACGCAATTTGAGATTTATTACCAAAAACAATCAAGTTAAAAAAATAAGAAAAGAGAGAGTTGTTTGTTTTTTAAAAATTTCATTTCTAATCAAATTCGAACGATTTCTATATTAAAATGTAAAAGACTACAAAATAACGCTAAGAATGAATTTAATTTTTTTAAATTCGATTTGGATTAACTTTCATAAGTATCACATAACATCATTATTAAAGATTACCTTTTTGTTGTTTTAGGTTTTTTAATTGCTTTAACAGATTCGTAAAGTTAAGAACCAGTTTTCTTGCCAGATCAATGCCGAGCAGAGGTCCACCAGATGTAAAAGACATGTGAGCACAGTTGGATTACAGTTAGAACGACATTTTGTATTGTGTCAACTCGTTGCTTACAAAGTTCTCATTACACGTGATCACGTTTTCTTTATGTAAATCTATACTCGATGACTAATGCAATAATTAACCATAAATTGTTTAATAATTCTAATTTTGTTATCATTTAAACGAAAATTGTTGATCAATAACACACAATCAACAAACCTTTTCGTATCGATAAATCACTCTTCAACTTTCCGAATCATTGAACACGATAACAATAAGACAAGTACACGAACAATACAAGCACCGAGTATGCGAGAATGGAATTTTTCGTAATTATCATTGCAAATTGCTCGAAGAAAATCGATCGATCTTTGAAACGATCCTCTCGATTTCGTCCATCCTCTTCAATTTTAGCCTAAAGCTAAAATAAAAAGATTTAAACGATTATTATTGCGCAATTTTGAGTCGTTTCTCGTCGGTTTAAATGACCACCTGAGGCTAAAAACATACAAACCTACTAAACGCGACAAGCCCAGTTTTTTTTTTCTTTTTGAAAAGATTTGTGGGATGGAAGAGCAGCCAGCCGTTTCGGAAGTGTTACAACTCGATGAAAGTACCATAGAACAGACCCTTTCTTGAAGCTTTCTTTACTTGTACAGCGAAAAGCACTCGATTCAAATTGGTTTGAATCGCTTTAAATTCACTACGAACGACTTTTGAAATGGCTTTTAAACCGTGTTTCTATTCACGGTTTAGTAAATTATGTGTAATTGACTTCTTGTTCTAAAAAGGGGGAGAGAAAATGGTCATGATGAATCACTTTTCGTTTGAATCACTTTTTTAGTTTGTTCTGACGATAACTTTTTTTTGCATAAAGTTCCAAGATAAACTACTTCCTGAGCTTATTAACTTTGTTTTTAAGAAA